AAAAAAAAAAAAAAAGCAGGGATGGGGATTTAGCTCAGTGGTTGCGCTGCCTGCCTGGCAAGCCCAAGGTCCTGAGTTTGATCCCTGGTACTGCAAAAAAAAAAAAAAAGTTCCAAAAATAATTAAACATAGTGAGCCAGGGTTATAGCTCAGCGGCACCATGCCTGCCTGGCAAGCAAAAGGTCCTGAGTTCGATCCCTGGTACAAAAAATAAAACATAGAATTACCACATAATACAGCAATTCCACTCCTGGATATACGGCCAAAGGAATCAAAAGCAGAGACTTGAACAGGTATTTGTAGACCTGTTCACAGCAGCCTTATTCACAATAGCCAAAATGTGAGTGCTGATCAACAGATGGATAAACAAAATGTAGCATAAATACACAATAGACTATTACTCCGAGTTAAAAAGGAAAGAAACTCTAACTTATGCTACAGCATGGATGAACTCTGAAGGCATTATACTATGTGCAATAAGCCAGACACAAAAGGACAAATATGGTACTCGTCTATTTATAAAAGGTCCATAGAATAGTCAAATTCATTGAGACAGAAAGTAGAATAGCGGTTGCCTGGGGACTGGAGGAGGAGGGAATGCGGAGTTGATGTTTAATGAGTATGGAGTTTCAGTTTGGGAAAATAAAAGTTCTGGAGATGGATGGTGGTGATGATAGCACAGTAGAAAAATGTGAATGAACTCAATACCACTAAACTATACACCAAAAAAGGTTCAAATGCTAATGCTTGTAGTATGTGTATTTTACCACACATTTTTAAAAAGTAAGAAAGAAAAAAGAATGTAAACAGTTCCCTAACCCCTACGCCTGCTGCCCAAGCCTCACCTCTTTTTCCCTGTGGGAAGCTTTATTTTGGAAGTGCTCTGCCTTCTTCTGAACATCCTCCAGGGTAAACCCAGTCTCTGCAGGTTCACACTTGGCACTGCTCTTATCCAGACTCTACTGCATCCCTCCTTGCCTGTACAACTTTACCCATCTTCCCAGGGGCTCAGATTCCTTCCCCACTTGGAAAGCCTTTGTGGGCCAATCTAGACTTTTCTCCTTTTCCTATCTCTTCTTGCCAAAGAAAAAAATCTGAATTATATGCATCACCAATCACAGAAGATGCCATCTTAGACTCTCCCTCGGTTTGTTACACACTTCTCTATCAATAAAAGCAGAAATTTTGGTTCTGACATATGAGACTGTATATATGAACAGAGACCAGCCAAGGATTTGTTCCTACCTCACCCTACCTAACACGTGTTGAAATAATATGTAACTATCTGACAGTGAGTCTGACTGCCCAGATTATGAAATGAAAGGTGAGAACCACTCTCAGTGTGATGAGGTAGATCCCTGACCCTGCATACTTCCAGAGAACGGGGTTTTGATACTGGCTCTGTATCATCAGAGCAGTGGAATTAGAAAGTAGAATTCCTTTCCAGGAAAAGGTGGGTTTCTAATAAATACTCTGTAATGACCAGTGTTACTAGTGCTTTCTAGGTGCTAGACATTGTTCTAGGTGCTTTAATATGGGTGTCTTATTTAATCCTCACAAATAGCCTCATAAAATAGGCACTATTTTCCTATTTTACAAGCCAGGAAACTGGAACTCAGAGGCTAGCTATACAGTATTACCTTTAGCATGTTTTGCTGCCCCATAACTCCCAAGCTCAAGTGAGCTTCCCGCCTCAACCTCCAAAGCACCTGAGACTACTTGTCTGCCCCACCATGCCTGGCTGGCTTTGCTATGCTTTTGCTTCTCTTTGGAAGATTCCTCTTCCACATTTAACTGTGGGGTTACTGCCACACTCTTTGCCTCAGCTGTGAATTATTAGACGGTGGAATGTGAAGCTGTTCCTTTACACATAAGCCAAGGTCACAAAGCTTTAACTGGTAGCGCAGGAACTGGCCAAGTCCCCAGACTTGGGAACACATCCGCTCTGAAGGACACACATATCTGCTGCTTGCCCCCAGGACTTCTTCCTTTGTGTAGCAGGCAGGGAGAGGAGGGAGGGCTGGGGCCTCAAGGAATTCCAGGACTGATCTAGGGGTGGGGAGCCGAACAGTTCTCTTCCACTGGATTATGGAAGGCCTTTCCCTACCTCCAGGAGACGGCGTGGTGGGGAGGCCAGCCATGGCCGGCAGGGCCGGAGTACCCCGTCAGGGGGGCAGACCTGTAGGAAGGAAGACAGGAATGGGGGGGTGGGCTCCAGGTTTTCCTTGAGTCCCTTCCCCACTTCTTTTCCCTTTAAGCTCGCCCTCCGCCCTTCTCTTTTGGTCTCCCGGAGGATCTTCTCATGCTCCACGTAGCAACCTCTCCCTAAAGGCAACTGGAGATCGCGTGTCACCTCTGAGACCCTCTCACGGGGCCACCACATTTACCTAAGAGATCTCTCTCGGGGCCTGAGAAAGTCAGGCAAAGGTGAGCAGCAGACTCAGTTTTCGCCAAAGCGCGGTTAACAGGCGCCTGGGCTTCCGCGGCCGGGAGCTCGGGCGGGGCGGCCCACTAGGTGTCAGGAGAGGGCCGGGCAGGTCGGGCCGCGCGCGGGGTGGGGGACCGAAAGGCAGAGAAACGCGGGGCCGGCCCACAGCCGCGGCCGGCCTGTCTCAGGGCCCCGGTTCTCCCCTGCCCGCCCTGCGTTGTCCGGGGCACCGTCCACGCTCGGCCTCCCGAACTCACCTGACCCCAGCCTGAGCCTCGGAGCCCCCGGAACCCCACAGCCCCGCGGACATCGAGGACTGCGAGATGCACGCGGCGGGCTACGTTCCCGCCCCGGGGCCCCGGCAGCCCGCGTCTCTCCTTAACGCACCGTGAGCCCCGCGTGGCCGAGGAGCGGCGTGTCCCGGGCGCCGAGCCGCGACCGCTCTCGCTTTCAGTTCCTGCCACGGCCGAGGTGGCTGCCCTGCGTGTGGGCGCCGGCGCGCCCGGCCTCCCGCCCTGCGCAGGTCCCCTCCTCCGCGCTCACCTTTCCCGTCGGACCGGACGGGCTGCGGGGCAGGGCCTACGCCGCTCCGCGCGTCCCTTTGAACTCGCCGGGGGGCGGGCACCGCGGAGACGCGCGCAGGCCGGGCGGGGAGCCGGGCCAGGACCTGAGCGGAGGAAGCGGCTGCCCGGAGCCGCGCGGGCGGCCGGCCGGCGGGGGTGGGGGCCGGGCCGCCTGGGTGGGACAGGAAAGAGCCGAGAAGCCGCCCTCGCAGGTCCCCGCGCTCCCCCGGGAGGAAAGGCTGTCTTCCCGTCGCCAGCTGTCCCTGCGCGCTCCATCCGGAGCCTCTTCCTCCTCGTCCAGAGGCTGCAGAGGGCACCACCGGGGTCCGTCAGATCTCTGGGTTGACTAATTTGAATTTTCAGCAAATGTAGAAAGTTACACAGACTTGCGATTTGCAACTCATTTACGCACAAGGGTGGCACGAAGCTAATTTAGGAGGCGCACCTGGGTCGGAGGCACCCAGGTGGGGTGGGAGAGACGCGAGGCTCCGCCGGGATCCTCCTGCTTTGCATTCTTCTGAGGCTGCGTTGCGTGGTGGTGGTTTGAGTGTCGTGGACTTTGGATTCAAACAGTCTGGCGCCACCGCTTGCTAACTTGCTGACTTTGGGCAGATGACTTAACACCTTTAACTTCTATTTCCTCATCCCTAAAATGGGGGACTAAAAGTGACCATACCAATAAAGCCATTTCATAACCACTGTTCGAGCACACAGTAAGCACTGCAATTTAAATATTAATCAGAGCCATACTTCACCCCTTGACTCACTTCTTCGTGGCAGGAAATTCTCCCAAATTAGTGGAATTCAGTGACTAAGAGGACGTAGTAGTATATAACAAGCAATTGTTTCTGCTTTGAAAATTTGACAAATTACTTTTTTGGGGGAAGGGGAGCCTGGGGACTGAACCCAAGGCTTTCCCACTGAGCTACATCTCCAACCCTTTATTTTGTGACCGGGTCTTACTAAATTGCTTAGGCTGGGGTTGAACTTTCCATCCTCCTGTCCCAGCCTCCCAAGGTGCTGTGATTACAGGCACCACCACTCCTAGCTGGCCAAATTGTTCCATTTCTCTTTCCTAGGGCAATCCCTGTCTCCTACTGGAGCATTACTGTGGGGTATGGAATGAGTTAATAGAAAGCATTAGAACCTTACCGGGCTCATAGTAAGTGCTCAATAAACGTTAGCTATTGTAACCTTGGCTGTCCGGAGTAGGACCTTTTGTGATCATTCTGTTTTCCATCTCAATGGCATACTGTTTTGTGCTTCTTACTCCAGTTCTGTAGGCTGGGGAATTGATGTTTATACAGATTGTTAAAAAGACAGATATCAAGGCCGGGGATTTAGCTCAGTGGTTCCAGTGCCTGCCTCAAAAGTGCAAGGTCCTGAGTTCGATCCCCAGTACCAAAAACAAAAAAAAAGACAGGTATCAGTTTGTGTATGATATCAGGGGAATAAAGACTGAAAGAGTCTCAGAAGAGAGAGGGATGAAGTGAGGGGGGTAAACCCCATAAGTAAAACAAGAATAATTGCTTTCATTTCTAAAGTGTCGATAAAAACCAGAGGAGAAAAAGTTAATGAAATTCACTTTATATTTTTTTAAAGGCAAAGCACTATTAGTGAGAAAGTAGTTCATGTGTTGGGAAACTGCCAGTTCAACCCAGAAAGGCAAAGAAAGTGACACACAGGCAAAATGTTAATAAGAGAAAGGTCAGTTTAACCAGTCCTGGATAAGAGACTATCAGAGAGAAAAGGAAATTCAAATCCTAATGGGCTAACTTCCAAAGGAAGACAAACTGACCAGATGACCATGAATTGCAGGAAAGGCTGGGATCCTTCTCCTATCTCCTGTCCATCTCCTTCTCGGCATATTCTGTGCTGAAGATTGTTAGAGCCACCAACTTAGAGCTATCTCCAGACATTTGGAAGTTATCCCGTAATCTCAGCACTTGGGAGGCTGAGGCAGAAGGATCACAGCCAGTTTGTGGCCCGCCTGGGTTACATAGTGATTTCAAAGCCAGCCTGAACTACAAAGCCAAACCCTGCCTCAAAAAACAAAACAAAAATTTGCTGAGGTGGTGCATGCCTGTAATCCCAGCACTCTAGGCTAAGTAAGGAGGATTCCAAGTTCAAGTACAGCCTGTGTAGGCAAAAAAAAAAAAAAAAAAAAAAAAATTGTAATATATGATTTTTTTCCCTGTAGGCACATAACTCATTTTTTTTTTTTTTGGTACCAGGGATCGAACTCCGGACCTTGTGCTTTCGAGGCAGGTGTCGGAACCACTGAGCTAAATCCCCAGGCCACATAACTCATTTTAAATGTGAAAACGTGCAACAAAATAGGGATCCAGTATACATACACTGAACATCCAGTTTGACATGGAGAACTGCATAAGCAGTATATGTATTATGCTGTCTGGTGTAGCCCATTTCTCCTGGACATGCCATCTGTGGAGTTCTCTGTCTTGCCCATCTGTCAGAATGCTAGAGGGTAGGGACTGGATGAGGCACTTGTAATTCCTACTATAGAACGGTGCATAGGAATAAGTGATAACCGGAGCCCCGTGTTAGTCCTTCAGTGTTCTCCAAGGATTAAGCGCTGAGCCCCAGAAACTAGAGCAGCCATCCTTTTGTCAGCAGACCTCCAGGGACCTCAAGGCAGGAGACAAGACGTATTCAGCTCTAATTTTATTAGCTTTCAACCTCATCTTTTGCTGCTGCCAGGATGGCAGTCTTCTAAGCCCCAGGCTTTCCCCTAGACAATTATACCATTTTGTGAATCAGGGTAAATAGTTTGCCCTCCCCTACCAGAGTGTAAGTCCCTACTTAAAAACTGTAGGTCTCCAGCATACTCCCCAAAGAATCTCTTTCCTGGGGCAGTGGGAGTCAGGAAAGCCCTGGACACAAAAGGCTTGAACTGGATTTTGCCCTGTGTGGGGCTTACCATGCAGATCATGGCGGGCCATACAGGCCTGTGAGAGGCCTGTATTCCTGGCATCTTCCATACCCTTCCAGTAGCCCCAGGGCATCATTCCCAGCAGAGATTCTGAGTGTTAAGAGAGGAGTGTAAACCCTCCTTCTCTAGGGGACATGCAACCTCCTCCCCAGTAGGCTATACAAAGTATATCCTTTGAATAGTTACTGTTCCCCCCACACCCCAGTGCTAAGGATTAAAACCAGGGTTTCACACATGCTGGACAAGCACTCTACCACTACACCTACAGTCCTTTTAAAACATTTTTGAGACAGGGTCTTGCTAAGTTGTCCAGGCTGGTCTCAAACTTACAATCCTCCTGCCTCAGCCCCCCAAATAGCTGGATGTCATTGTGTCAACTTGATTGGCTTGAGAGCTGCCTAGGAGATTAGTAAAACACACTTTGGGTTGTGTATTGGTGGGTCATGGAGGTGTGACCTGGAGTACTTTATGTGGTCCCTGGCCCCTTCCTCTCTGGACTGTTCCTCTGATCTGCTTCCTGGCTACCATGAACTAAGCATCTTTGTTCTACCATGCCCCTCTGCCATGGAGGCAGAAACCATGGACTGAATCTTCTGAAACCATGAACTTAACTAAACCTTTCTTCTTTTAGGGAGACAGGGAAAGCTGTAATACACTGGGTTTGCCAGCACACCCAGCTGAATGGTCACTTTTTCTAAAGAAGAGTAATAGGATTAGATTTTTAAAAAATGACTCCTAGGGTTATTGGTCCAGGTAAGCATGCTGAGATGTTGATGGAGATTCTCCCTGGATTCACCATCATGAGTACAAGCTTGCTCATCTGGCAGAATGGCTGTTGCGTACACCCACAAGCTTGCTAACAGGGGCAAGGGAAAAAAGAATTCCCCATTATCCCTGTCAGTGGATCTGCTTGAGAGACAGGCACATCTCTGGGATTAAGGAAGAATTTTGATTGATGAAAAAAAATAATTCAGTTATGATCATCTACACTTATTAGATGGTTATGCAATGTATTATGTAGCATATGTGTTATGTAATGCTTAACAAAAATAAAATGGAAAAATGATCCCCAAATATAAACATGTATTTCCATCTCCCTAACAGACACATCTACTGGAAAATCCTATAGGTGTCTCAAACTCCTTGTATCTAGTGTTTGTAGGGTACACCCAGTGTTTGTTTTTATAACTTAACCATAATTGATGCATAATAACCACATATAAAGTACATAATTTGATAAGCTTTGACACTTGTACCTACCTGTTAAACTATCACCCTAATAAAAAGAACATTTCCTGCAGGGTGTAGTGGTGCACACTTGTAATCCCAGCACTCTGAGAAGCTGAGGCAGGAAGATTACAAATTGGAGCACAGGTTGGGCAACTCAGTGACTTAGTAAGAAGTAAAGGGGGTGGGGACCTGGGTAAGTAAGCAGTCTAGGCAAAGGCCCCAGGTTCGATTTCAAGTAACTCAAACAAAACAAACAAACAAAAAACATTTTTATCATCCCTAAAAGTTGCCTTGTGCTTTTCATAATCTACCATCTTCATCACCACTTACCAACATATTATGTTGTACCCAGCACCCTCATCCTGTAAGAGTGCCACTCACATTTCCTCATTTTCCTAGCCATGGGATGGGTACATCACGAAAAGCAGGGCTGTCAGATTCTTTCTCTAGGGAATCTGGATCTGGAGAGGACATAGTGGCAGGAGGCAGCTGAAGCTGAAGGCTGCTAATAACAGCTACCTGAAGCAGCACTTTCCCATTACATCCCCAGGCTGGTTCTTGACCTTCCTGCAGCTCTGTTGTTCTGTCAGTTCTCAGCTACCTACTATCCCATGTATCCTTTATTGGTTTGCTTTTTATTTATTTTTTGAGACAGGGTCCTGCTGTGTAGTCCAGGCTGGCCTTCAACTCATGGTGATCCTCCTGCCTCAGCCCCGAGTGCGGGGATTACAGGTGTGCAGCACCACACGCCAAGCTGTTTTTTGTGTTTTTTTGTATTGAGGATTGAACTCAGGACCCTGTGCTGGCAAGACAGGTGGTGGAACCACTGAGCTAAATCCCCGGCCTGCACTCCGGGCTTTTATTCCTTAATTTTTTTCAGTCTGTTGCCTGCAACAAAAGGGCCCACACAAATGCACTTCTTCCATAGTTACTGTTTCAGGAAATGACATCACCAGATTCTACCCTCAAGCCTAATCTAGAATAATACCTTAAACCCTCAGTGTTCATCATGCTTTACCTTCTAACCCATCATTAAATCCTGCCCATTCTGCTCTCTGCTCAGTATTCTCACTACCTCCTTAAAGATCTTACCTTCTAGCTGGGCATGATGGCTCATGCTTTTAACCAGCTACTCAGATCCTCAGCTGAGGCAGGAGGATCACAAGCTCAAGGCCAGCCTAAGCAATATAGTAGGACCCTGTTTAAAAAAAAAAAGGGCCAGGGATGTGACTCAGAGGGACAGTCTCTGGCTCCTGGGTTCAATCCCTAGTACTGAAAAACAAAACAAAACCTTAGTTTCTTCTCAGATTGTTTCTTTAGTACCTAGTACTGGTACTCAGTGCTTGACACAAAGTAGGTGCTTGGTACACTACTACTGAATAATTGAGTGGATGGTAACATCATCACCTCTAAATACAGGAAAGATGGAAGGGCATTTGCAACTGTTAGCTATCAACGTGACAGACTTCGGTATTATCTTTCAATATTTTCACTGAAAGCAAATAGTAGGATTCAAGTCCAGGATTTTTAACTTCAAATTTCATTCCATTTCCACTATAATATTATACTTTGTGTCTTTTCTCTTCACTTGGAGTTTCATATCTTCCATCTATCCTGCTCAGATCCCTTACTCAAAGCAATTAGACTGTAAGTAACACTGCTCTAAAATATAATCCCTTTCTCACAGAATTTACTTATCCAGTAACATATCTGGATTGAGGAAAGACACAATAAAAGAATTACAACCAAGAGGTAGGGTGAGCCAGGCATGAGGGATATGACTAAAGCTTTCTGACCCTGGGGCAAAATCAATAACCTTACCTAAGTGGAAAACAGTGTGCTGAGCTGAAGCAACACCCTGTGTCAAAACAAGGATCCACATACAGTCCAAACCATACTTTATTTAACAGTCTGAAAATATATTCTTTTGGCTTTAAGTCTTGCAAAGTGAGTGGGGTAAGTCAAAAGCATGTTTGTTCACTGTCTTCTGAGTAGGTGTGGTTTTGTGTCCCTCTGTGGACAAGTGTATGTGTCTATAGATACTTTTGTTTTTTATGTTATTATGGCCCATTTTATTATATAAAGTCTGATTCTTCTGATAATGCTAAAACCAGGATTAAAATATTCCCTGAGTCTCACAGTTTCCTCTCTAAGCCTGTCTCCTTCCCTCCCTCCCTCCCTTCCTCCCATAAGGCTGCTCCTCAGCTTCCATTAATGCCAGGTCTTTCAAGATTACCAGCACTCGTACCCCCTTAGAAGCCAGAAGTGAATGCTGGTTTTATTCCTCTGGACCTATCCCCTCTGGTTGGGAAGCTTCTCTGGGGAGATGTGTATAGGGGAGGTCCTGGCAGTTTCTCTTCAGAGTCGTGCATTTTCATTTGCGGATACCTGGAAAGTTAACAGGATTGCATTAGATACTGACCTGCCTTTCCACCAACCACTTGAGAGTAAAAGCTCAACTTCCTTCTCTTCAATTGTATTTCATGTAATGCCACTGGCTTCTACTAAGGGAGGCAAATATGAAGCAGGGTGTTGGGATTATTGTAAAGACTTGTACCAGATACTGTTCATTAATTTTATTTGCCTCTCTTCATGAAGATTCACAGGAGAAACTTCTTTCTCCTCTTAGTAGCAATAGCTGTTGTTCTCTTAAAGCACAGGCACTGTGAATTGGGTGAACTGATCAGGTGTTTTCTTTTTCCTGGATGTTGGAAAAGTCTAGAACCAATTTTTGGCCGATCCCTAGTCAGTTTACTTTATAGAATGCATTTTTTGTATTTGCCTAATTCCTGCCTCCATTTTATGTCACCATTCTGTCTCATACTTTTGAGTTATTTTGCTACATTTTAAGTATCTGTAAGTATATTAAATATATGATATAAATAATGCTTTTGTATAACAACTCCTTTTAAATATAAGTGCAGATATCATTAAAGAAAAACTTGGGAGGTAGGGTTAGTGTGAGGCCAAGTGTGGGAAGTGGGCAGAAAGACACCCTAAAGTCCCAGTTCATTCTTGGTTCCTCTGGCTCCCGCCACCCGACCTTGCCACAGGGTGTTGTGCACTGCTGGATTCCCCTTGCATTTGGAGCCCACAGGAAGATCATAACTGCACCCTTGTCCACCCAGTGCACAGTCTCACCACCCACACTGTTCCCTGTATTTCCAGTCTCCTTACCCCTTCTTGAGGCTCAGGTGCTGTGATGTCATCAGGATCACTGCGGCTCTACAAAGAGAAGAGATCTGCTATTGATAGGTGGCTCAGCCTCCCCAGCCTCTCCGCTGAGAAGGGTTGTCTGTTCCTTACACTTTTCAAGGGTCATGTACAACACCAAGGGCAAACATACAAGGTAGTTTCCCAAAGCCTAAAGCAACAGGGAAGGCCTTCCTTCATGCTCTTTTACGAATAAAGCAATCAATAGTCAAAGGGTGGCCAGGTATGGTGGCACATGCCTGCGATCCTGCCATTCAAGAGGCTGAGGCAGGAGGACTGCCGTGAGTTCACAGCTAGCTTGGGCTACATAACAGTTCAAGGCCAGCCTGAACCACATAGCTTTTGAGACCTATGCACAGGTTTTGAGACCCTGTCTCAAAAACAAAAAAAACAAAATAAACATACACAAAAAACAAGAAACAAGATTCAAAGGGTAAAATGACTTGCTGGGACAGGGAAACAGGCCTTTAGATTCCAGAGTTGTTTCCATGAACAGACACCACGTGATGTGTGTGACATGCACATATATATAGGAGTGTGAGGTCTTAAAACTACTACCTGCTATTTTTAGACTAACCTTCTCAGGAATGTACCGTGGCTCTCCCACACAAGTGATCCTAACCATGGTAAGTGGTTTAGAGAGGCAAATGGCCTAATGGTTTCTTTGGGAAAAGTTATAGGTCCTGAGATGGGAACCCAAGATGCAGAAATCCCTGTTTAAGAACTAATACGCCAGAGAAAGACCTTAGCACTATCAGGGTTTTAAAAAGAAAATTTATTTTTTTATTGAATTTTTTTTTGTTTTTGGTACTGAGTATTGAACTCAGGACCTCGCACTTACCAGGCAGGTACTGTGCTTATGAGCTACATCCCCGGCCCTTTTTATTGAAATTTAGTTTATGCACTGTATAATTTATCCTTTTAAAATAGAACCAATTACCAACACTGTGGCAGTCACTTGAAATTCCATGATTTAAGGAAAATTTCCTTCTTCTTATTCTGTCCTTCCTTTCTAGACTATGGATGTGCTCAAAGGTATTATTACCTCCTAAAAAGTCACCAAAACCTTCCTTCTCTCTCAAGTGATTCAAATGCTGAGCAAGAACAGGTTTTTCTCCAGTCACATTTTTATTTTCCTATTTTACATGTCCATACTTCTGCTGGAGAGAGTGTGATTTAGGATGCGTCTGCAAGGGAGATGAGCATGTGGTGGAGGACGTGATTTTAAAGGATGTGGACACTGACAGGATAGATGTAAGATGGTTTAACTCCTTAGTTCCACAGGGAAAATGTCTCCTTAGCTGATAATGAAATCAACCCTACCCAACAGGGCAGAAGTAAGGAACATTATTACTCTCAACCCTAAAGAGACAGCCTTAGGGGAAAGGAGGTTGTGTGCTATACTTCTTTCCCAGGGAGGATGGTATTGGCCTGTTCCTCAAAAGGTTAAACAGCATCTTGGTGCTTATAATCTCCCTTTCAATAAAATGACTCCAAGAATGCAAACTTGTTTTATTATTCATCAGAGCCAAACAGAAAGTCACTCTACTGCTGTCTCCATGCTAAATCATACATCACAAAGTCAAACTGAAATTAATTTTGCTTTTCCCTACCATTGAGTTGCTATTTGCAGTGCAGAAAACTGAGAGGCGACACTACTTGCTCAAGATCCTGAATTAGGGGTGGGGATACTGTAGCTAAACAATAAAACCCGTGCAGGGACCTTGGGCTTATTCATTGTCCACAGGTCCCAGGCATCTCACAATCAGCCTAGCTGCCTCTGACTAGAAACCAGCCAACAGGGCTGGAGATTTAGCTCAGTGGTTCCACCAACTGCCTCGAAACCAGCCAAGGGCAAGTTTTTGCTGGGGCCTTTAGTACCACATGTGAGTCAAGACTGAGGTGATAACAATGTTGATGACTTAGATTTTAATACCTCAGGAGAGTCAGCTGAGATAAGCTTACTGGTCTCTTCATCTCCCATCCTCTTCCAATCTCCAGGCTCTGAAAAACCCTGCAAATCAAAGTGAAAAATGTAGGAGAAAGTCCTACACCTTTGTATCCCTGGGTGCTACCCTCAAATACTCTGTCTCTGTTGCTCCTTTCAGGTAGTACAGGGCTCCCAAGGTAGCCTGGGCACCATACACCTGGGCAAAGGTAGTGGTAGCAGAGTGGTAAGACATAAGAGGCACCAGGCACCCTCTCCCAGACATCCAGATGGCTCACGTCTGGCCTTCTTTCTTACTTAGGTCTCACCTTCTCTGACAGCTCTGTTTAAAACGGCAACTCAGCCCCCACTTAATTTTTGTTTGCATCTCTTATCACTAGATGGTAATGATTTATTCTAGTCTGTCTTCTCCCACTACAGTATAAGCTCTAGGAAGGCAGGGAATTCTGTGTTTTGTTCACTGTTATAACTCATCTCCTAGAAATGTGCTGGGGACATAGCAGGGGCTCTTAAGTGATTGTATACTGAATGAATGAATCCTGGTGCCATCTGGTCAGACTTCCCACTATACTTCTCTCTACCATGCACCTGACCAGATAGCATGGAAGGAGAACTTAACATCAAGGAAGGAGAACTGCTTTTTGCATCCTATTTTATTTATTTTTATTTTTATTTTTTGGTACCAGGGATCAAACTCAGGTCCTTCCGATTGCCAGGCAGGCGGCAGAACCACTGAGCTAAATCCCTGGCCCTTTTGCATCCTATTTTTAAAAACTTTTTATTTTTATTTTTTTGTGGTGCTGAGAATCCATTCAAGGGCCTTGTGCATGCACGGCAGGCCTCTACCACTGACCTGCCCCAGTTTCCTATTTTGTTTTTTATCAGTCACTTGTGCCTGTTCTCCTTATATATATTGTTTCTTAATATTTTTCCACCTCCTTTTTATACAGAGGTAATTGTTCAAAGTGCCTCTTGATACAAACTGTATCTTTTTAACTTTATACATAGGGCTTCAGAGTCTCAAGTCAGAACTCTCTTCTGAAGGACAGCCTTTCCATGTAACCTGAGCAGAACATGACCTGATTTCCAGGGCCTTCACTGAACTAGGTACTCTTTAGTGGGTCACAGTCTCTCAAGTTTTTCTCTTCTATAGTCTCATCTTTCAAAACTGTCACTTTTGCTTTAAATTCTTCTGTGAGTACCTGCTTCTAGGTCCCTCTCATTAAAGAAGCTGACGAGAAATTTGCTGCCATTTTTCTCGGGGTCTATTTGCCATAGTCACAGATATAATAAACTGAAAGTTCTCTCCCCTACTCCTACTAAAAACAGTAAAGCTCTCGATGCCTGCTGTAGGTTGTGTATATTGGGAACTTCAGAACTTAGAGCAAAAGAAATGAGTAAGAATCTGCTCATGATAATATTACAGATAAACACTTTACAGAAGTCAGTCACCCTAAGATTAGATCACTAAATTAATTGCTATGAAGATATAAATAATCTTTAGAACCCAAAAAAAGCATTCAAGAATATCCTTGAAACTAATATAATGACATCTTATCACCTATGGGGCAATTTGACTGCAGTAAAGATAACTCTGCTTGGCGATTGTAAAAGGGAATAAAGACCCAACCAGATCCACTCTAACCTGAGAAGTACACAAGTCGGGGAAAGTGTAAAGTTCTTCTGGGTTCTGTTCAGGGTTGTTCTCCTTTTCTCTGGCCTCAGGAGACCTCAGTGGCTTCTCTGGTGGTTCTGGATTAGGAGAGGCCTCTAATGAGGCCCCAGGACTTGGAGTCCCGGTCTCCAAGTGGCCCCTAGGGCTTGGCGGGGCTTTGGGAGGAGGAGGCCTATTAGGGGGCGCTGAGGTCCTCTGGATAGAGGCTGTCTTTGGTGGTTCAGATCCTTCACTTGAGGCGCGGGTTCGAAGGGTTATTTCTGGGAGAGAGGAAGACTGCTCTGAAGGGCTCGGAGCTCTGTCTGGTGATGGAGCTAGGGAGCAAGGGAGAACTTCCTCCTGGGACTTGTCCCGCTCAGCGGTGGGAGAGGGCTGGGACTGGCTTGGCCCATTGCAGGCCAGCAGAGGGTCTTCCTCCTCAGAGGAACTTGCTTCAGACCCTTCCTCTTCCACTCCCTCATCTTTCAAGGACTCCTCTTGAATCTCAGAATGATCTTCTCCTGGGACTGTATCAGGCGGCAGCTCTTCCTCAGTTGCTTCACGCTCACTCATCAAAGAAAGTGCAGAGGGACTGGTAGGTGAATTAACAGGGCTGGAGATGGCAGATGTTCGAACTGGGGGAGAGATGACTAAAGAGCGCCTGCTGCTGTTGAAAAAGGAAAGGCATTCAGAGTCAGAAAGACACAAACTGGAAGCAACCTACATTTCCAAAAATAATTATCATAGCTGATCATAGTGGAGCACATCTGTAATCCCAGCACTCTGGGAGGTTGAGGCAGGAGGACTGCAAGTTCGAGAATAGGCTGAGGAACTCAGTGACTTAGTTTAGTGAGATCCTATCTCAAAAGTAAAAAAAAAAAAATTAAAAGGGACTGGGATGTAGTTCAGTGTGAAGGCCCTGTGTTTAATCCCCAGTATCATAAAAAGCAAACAAAACAAAAATAATTATCATTCACATACATAGTAATAAAACAGAATAAAGCAAATTAAAATGATGTTAGAAGGTTTGTGAAATTGGTAATTGTATTATAAAGTGATATAAAGTTTTTAATCTATATGATTCTCAAGTATATAAAAGTATGTAAAGAAAAGACTAGAATGATACAGCAAAATATTAGTAAGTATTTCTTCTGGGTGCTATACAGCTGATGTACACAGATTTTATATCTGTACATTCATCTACTGTTATGGATTGTATCTAGATGCCCCCTCAAAGCCTCATGTGGTCACAGGCAGAGTTTTTCAGAGGTGGCTGGATCTAGAATGTGTGATGCTGGGATCAAGGGTTTGTGATTACTAAATTAGTCCACTGAATGGTTTGGCAGAGTTCTGAGTATGGATAATGGGAAGGCCCTCCCTGGGGGTGAGTGCTATTTACCCTAAGGGTGTGTAGCCTGGACAGAGTATAAGGGACAGAAAGAGGGCCGGGTCGTTCGCTTGCTGCTTCGCTAGTTTGCTGCTTGCTGCTTTCTGCCTGCCATGAACTCTTTCTCCTCTGTGATGCCCCTCTGCCATACCACCCTGCTTTGGAGCCAGCCAACCATGAACTGAAACCTCTACAAACTGTGAACTACAATAAATCTTTCCTTCTTTAACTTTGGGCATTGGGTATTTTGTCTCAGCAATGAGAAAAAGTAACTAAGACACCTACTTACTTTAATCCCAACATCAGTACTCCTGGTGCTTATGCAGTCATTTGTGGACATGCGCCAACGATGAAAAATGGTTCATCTCAAATGCACTTTCTCAGCGGAGGCCAAATAAGACAATGCTCTGCCTTTTTGTTTCAGCTCTCATATTGTAAACAAGTGCCCTTTCATCATGTTTTTTGCATTCTGGTGCTCTTTTTTATTGGTGACTTTGCTATTTAACATGGGCCCCAAGCTAAAGTGACATGTCTAATACAGAAAATATATTTGACAAAACTTCATTTAGGGATGAGTTATAATGCTGTTGATTTTAAGTTCCACATGAATGATGGAGCAACATTATTAATTAAAGGCTTTAAACAAAGATTCACATCAAACAAGGTTATGTATTGTTTAGTGGATGAAAATGTTGTAACTTGTAGGAACCTAACCCTGTGTTTTCCCAATAAGCAATGGTTAAGTATTCTGTGTTTATGGCAACTTCATAGAACAAAACTGCCATGAATAATAAGAATTGACAGTAACATTTATCCAGTATGTACTACAGGGGTGCACTTCTATAGCCAATATAGCTTGACTCCTACTCCACCTCCTCTTATGTGCCTCTTATGTACTGTCTACCAACTGATTAAGCAACCCACAAATATGTACTTGACAAGTTCCAACTATGTGCTGAGTCCTGGCCATGGGGCAGGGGGAGGAAGTGAGACACTTAGTCCTCACCTTGTGGGCATTTCTGATGTGGGATAAGCTATGTGACCTAAAGTTCTTTCTAGCACTAGAATTCTAGGAGTCAGTTAAGTTTAGAAGGCTCTGGACATAAGGCAAAAAACAAAAAACAAAAACAAAAAAACACCCCAATTTCTTCACAAGGTTCTGGGATATCTCAGTATAAATAAGAGTAAATTTGGGGAGAATAGACAGTTACAGAAGCGAGCCTTTTAATAGTGGATAGAGGAGAAATGGAGCTTTTGGAGCAAAGGAAATTTGTCTAGGAAGTTGTAAGATCTAAAATGTCCCCCAGAAGTCATTTGTTCAGACATGGGGCCTTCAGAAGATGACTCAACCATGAGGATTATAACTTAATAAGTGGATTAATCCATTGATGAGATCATAATTTAATGGCATTATTGAGAGGCAATGGTAACTTAGGAGGTAAGGCCTAGTTGAAGGGAGGGGTCATGGGGCATGACCTTAGAGACTATCTGCTCCCCAGCCCTTTCCTTTCTGGCTCTTTCTCTTTCTTTCTGCTTCCTGGATGCAGTGAGATGAGCAGCTGTCCTCCACCAAGCCCTTCTACCATTATGTGTCTGGCTTGGAACAAGCCAGCCATGGAATGAAACCTCTGAAACCAAAGCCAAAATGAGCATTTCCTCTTTTGTTTGTGTTAGGTATTTTATCACAGTGATGGAAAGCTGACTAATACAGAAGTCTACATTGGCCCTTTTGTAATTTTTTAAAATACCCTGTAACTAATTGCTAAGTGAGTAGTATAAACAACAAATGTGAGCCCTATTTTGCCTTTAAGTCCCAAGCTCAGTTTCACCATCTCCTTAAAGTCTTCCCTAACCACCTGCACATTGGTAATTACTTGTCTCTCTCTAGAATTCACACTGGTATCATTAAGCATTTAGTATGTGCAAGCCTATATTCCTCATTCCTGGTCTTCTTAGACACATTTTCTATACTTCCAATTTTTGGGGTTTTTTGTGGGGGCACAGTACTGGGGATTGAACCCAGGGCCTTCACTCTGAAGCTAGGCCTTTTAAATTTTTTTTTTTTTATTTTGAGATAGAGTCTAAGTTGCCCAGGCTAAATTCAAACTTGAAATCCTCCTGCCTCAACCTCTTAGAATGCTGGGATCATGCCACTAATGGCTCTTTGAACTTCTTATAAATCACATTAGGGAAAGGACAGGTCTCCTATGTCTCTGGATCCCTAATACCTGGCATAAAAGTTCATGTACAGAATGAGCTTAATAAAACTTCCTAAACAAAGGCTTCAGAATTGGCAAGAGTCTCAGAGTCTGAGAGATCAATGAATTGCTTACACTTTCCAGTAGGAAGAATGTATGAAGGCAAAAGATGTCACATACACACATGCGCGTGTGAAAAAGCAAGCCATAACAAGTTGAGAAAAGATATCTACCATGCATAAAATTAAAGGATTAGCATCTGGAACATACCTACAAAAATTCATATAAATTAAATTTTCAAAAAGGGTTAACAACCCAAATGAAAAGTATTTTGTATTTACGAAAGTCACAAAATAGGAACCTTATACAGCCAATACATGACAAGACACCCAAGGTAACTGGCAGTTGTGAAGATATGACTTAAAACTGCCAGTAACTCCATTTCATACCCACGGGCTTAAAAGAATTAAGTCGGACAATTTCACATGCAGGAAGAATGTTGAGCCATGGGGCTTATATTCACTGTTCATGGTTTGTACAATGTAACCATCACTTTGGAGAGCAATTTGGAGTTAGCTAGCAAGGCTGAAGGAGCTCTGGTGACAGACTCTATGACCCAAGAATTCTACTGTGTATAGACCTTAAAGAAACTCTTTTTTTTTTTGTGGTACTGGGGATCGAACTCAAGACCTTGCACTTGCCAGGCAGGCACAGTGCCACCGAGCCACAATCCCCAGTCCAGAAACTCTTGATAATATTCACGAGGAGAAATGTACATGTTTATTGCAACATTAGTGTAATAGCAAAAAACTGGAAAGTAACTCAAATGGTGACCAGCAAGAAGATAAAGAAGTCAGGAACTTGACATCCAGTAGCATCAATAACAGTTATGGAGCAGGGCGTGGTGGTGCACGCCTGTGATACCAGCACTCAGGAGGCTGAGGCAGGAGGATTGCTTTGAGTTCAAGGCTAGCCTGGGCTACATAGCAAGACCCTGTCTCAAAAAATCAAAAACCAAACAAACAAAAAAAAAAACCAGTAATGGAAAGAGCAAAGCTAGCAACAAGGATAAATTCCCCCAAACAATACTAAGAAAACAAAAGAAGATGCACTATAGTCCCAGTATTATAGACAGTTCAGTTAGGCACAAATATTATAGACAGTCAGAGAGAGATGGGCCCTCAAAGGAGTCAATGTAGAAGATGAGAACACATTACAACTGTGGCTGAAGGCGCATCTATTGAGGGCCAGGCCTCAAGAGAAAGATAGAATGACTGGGCCTGCATGCCTCCCCAAGGGATAAGCAATAAATAATTGGGATCACTTGTTCCAATAAAGTCTAGATAGACATCAGACACCCCACTGGGTGACCAGGACCTCCTGACTCATCTCTTCCTAAAAAGGTCCTTGTTCTTTCCATGTATACTTGCTATGTGACCTGCTTCCCCATGGGATCACTATTTCCTAAGTGGCTATACTTGTAATCTTATTGGTTGATCATTGTTTTGACCCAATTATACCCACCTCGTGATTTTGCTCTATAAAACTTCCTCTGTGAAGTGGGGTCTGCAGCAACCCACTCCTGGTTCTAAGGAGCTATCTCTCTCAATAAAGTATTCCTACTCTTAACCTCTATTGCTCTTTAGAATTCATTCTTAGATTTTGGGGAACACGAACTCAGCATATCTAGCAGGTTGGAGTTACATTCATTCTCCTTATATCACCAGCACTCAGGAAGCTGAGGTAGGAGGATCCCTTGAGCCCAGGAGTTCAAGACCAGTCTGGACAACATAGAGAGCCCCGGATCAAAAAGACAAAATAAAATTATAGAAGAATATGAATACATGCATATAAGTCCATCTGAATAAAGATTAAAAACAACGCAAAACAATGTTTTATGTGTGAATATATGTGTGAAATGTAAGTAAAAGACATACATGGAAATAACATGAAATTTATTATAGTGGCTAAGTTTGGTGGGGGCAGGAACAGAAAGTGAGTGGGAAAAGGACACTGGAAGTGCCAACAATTTTTATAATAGTTGATTTAAGTTGTGTAGGTCCAGGCATGGTGGTGCATGCC